TTGCTTTTGGTTTTTTTTTTAATCGAAAGGTAGTTATTTCTAAGCTTTCAACCTCACTGCATTCATTTATTCGTTTATATAGAAGCTGTAGAATTTGCCCAAAGCCTTAAAATGAAGAAACTCCTCAAAGTGGTCACGCCTATCTTCTGTTTGTTTTTGAGAGAGAGAGGGAGAGGAAGGGAGGAGAAAAGAGAGAGTGCAGGAGACGACAAAATCTTAACCATTGATGAATCTGTGTATGGGATTTTGGGTGAAGTTCATTTTACTGCCTGTTCAACTTTTCTGTGAGTTTAATTCCTTTTAAATAAGATATCTGGATATAAAAATGAATAAATAAATACAAATGAATACTCTTATAAACCACTGCTGGTTCACCTGTAGTTAACAGATTAGCAATATGTGGGCTAAAACATCACCCATCTAAAGTCAGACTTTTGGAAATGGCCTCACAAGCTATACATTTTGGTTCTGCACTCTGATTTAAAGTCTGTCTCTATGAATTTACAGTCAGGGCGTCATCATCCCATAATTCTACCAGTGATGCTAACATTTTTGAGTTTCCAAGTTATAAGAAGCCCAAATGTGGTTTGGTAAGCTTTTATCATATACATATTTATTGAGTGAATGAAAATAATTATCTTCTAGAAAGCATCTTATGAATGACTCATTCGTAGGCATTAGTAAAAGTATACCTTTTGTACCTTACCTCTTACCCTCTAGCTGTACCTCCATGCACCAGCCGTTGCTACGGCCACCATCCCTGCCTAGGTATGACCTGCCAGCGCCTTGCCTTGTCTGAAATACCTTTCTCTCAGTTTCTGTCCTGGGGCTTCTTTGCCACCATTCCACTTCTTGGGACAAATATGAGGAAGTGTACAACCCCAAAGGCAACTGTGAATCCATGGAGAACTGGATCCTGGGAAAAGACAATCTGTTCTTTACCCTTTAGTGGGAAGGTCTGAGGCACATTTTATAGGATTCCTCAGAGGGCTTTTGGGAGAATGGAGACCTACTTGCCTATACTGCTGACTAGCTCAGTGCAGCACCTTTGAATTGGCTTTCCCTCCTCCCCTGTTTATCTCTTCAAGTCCTTCACTACTGCTTCCTGGGACCTGCATGCAAATCTTTGTAACAGGCTTTGATTTTCTTGGCATAACCTCAACCAGACAATGGCATCTCTCTAGTTATGGTTGAAAAATATGAGAATTGTTGTTATTACAATGGCCAATTTATAAGAGATTGTATGGTGTCTAGAAAAAAGCATTAGGAAGAGTGTCAGAAGATTCTTCTGTATTGTTATTTGGCCTCAGGCAGGTCATTTAGCCATCAGGTGATTGGTCACTTAGCCATCAGGTGACTGGAAAGCTACAGTGATGAGGAGTTAAGGAGAAGACACATTGGTATGTGTGTAGGATTCTGTTAGCTGATTATAAGACTGTGGCCTCTGGTATCTAATATAACATGTTGAGAATAACAAAATAGTCCTTGAATCTAGTGGCACTGAGAGAGTTAGATGGTCATTTCAGAGAAGGGTTGTTAGTAGACTTGGGAGGACTTCAGTTATTCAAACTGAGACCTAAAATAAAATACAGACTCTATGATGATAAGGAGGCCTATTCTAGTCCATAATGAGGATTACAATAAATGTAGGAGCGAAACTATTATCAGAAGGTCGGGTAAAGCAACAAAGGGGGTCTGGGTGCAAAATCTCACAGCATTAGGCTGGAACTTGCTAAATTGCATCAACCTAATATGAGAAACTAAAAATGGGGAGTAGCCCCAGTTTAGAGGGATGGGAGAATAAAGTAGCTGGATACCAAATGAAGCGTTGCATGCACAGGCTAGTTGCATACTATAATTACTTGTTTCATTGTATAGCTCAGGGTAGTCTGTGATTTTCAGACTCTGTGGTTAGAAAGATACACCAATGTCTCAGGGCATGGGCAGTTGATGTACTTTCTGCTAGAGTACAGATGTTGTAGTCCTTATTAAATCCGGCTCTTTACTGATACCGCAGGGAATACTTAATGAATGATGCTCCCCTTAAGAAGAAGAATAATTAACAATAGTTGTATTATTCATATTAATTTATAGTTACTGGTTGCTATAATTAATGTATTTATGAAAATTATCATAATTATAGCACTTCATAATTTATGAAGTATTTTCCCATCCATTTTTTTTCCAAGTCTTTTAATATCCCTCTGGCTTAGATATGGCAGGTGATATTCTCTTTGTTTTATATATGAGGAAACTATGACCCAGGAAAGAATGTAACCAGACTGCAACCTACCCCTCTTACCAGTACATTGTACTTTCTGTGAGTATATGGTAATACACTTACCAAACTCATATTTATTATAATGTCTTATATCTGCATGCGAAAGAACAGGTTCCCACATTTCTCAGTTGCCTTACATAACAATAATGTCCTCCCTTTCCTTTTTGTACCAGGACCCAATGTCAGAATATTCACAAGAGTTCTGAATGTTTAAGGGATTTTCTTCTTAGTAATACCACAATATTTCATGGTTATTAATACTCAGTGGGATAAAGATGCAATTGCCTCTGACAGAGGGATTAGCATTTTCTTTTTTTAATAAAGATTTTATTAACTTATTTTTAGAGAGAGGGGAAGGGAGGGAGAAAGAGAGGGAGAGAAATAGCAATGTGTGGTTGCCTTTCATGTGCCCCCCCACTGGGGACCTGGCCCACAATCCAGTCATGTGCCCTGACTGGGAATTGAACCGGTGTAGCTTTGGTTCGCGGGCCTGCACTCCGTCCACTGAGCCACACCAGCCAGGGCAGGAGTAGCATTTTCAAAGCATCTGTTTCTAGGGCAAAGACCCTCTGTTCTTTCTTTTTTTTATTCTTGCTGTTCAATTACAGCTGTCCCGGTTTTTCCCCCACTGCTCTCCCAGCCCTGCCCGGCCCCCCGCCACCCCACTCAATCCTTCCCTCCATTGTCCTGATGAGACCTACTGTCCTTATAGGGTTAGGTAAAACTGGGAATTCAGGCTCTGAGAAAACCTAATCAACCTGTATTTATTTATTTATTTGCATTTATTTACATTTTTTGGCTGTGGCAACAGAGCTGAGGAAACTCTCATATTCTTCACAAGGGCAACCTTCAGATCTGGGCCATACAGTGTAAAATACATAGACACACAGGTGTGCATACAAATGCACACTGAACCTTGTGGCTCCTTTTCTCTAACGTAATATATACTTTCTTTACGAGAGCATCCACTGTTCTTATTGTACCACTAGCTGTTTTTACCCAGAAGATATTGGTATGAAAAGGGTTACTAAGACCTATGGCAGTGTCTGTCATTATCCATTCATTTATGTATTTAAACATATTTACTGAACATTTCCATGGGTCAGGCCCTTGGCAAGATTCTGGGGAATGAACAAGGAGCAGAACTGACAAAGTCCTTATCCTCATGAAGCTTGCATGCTCCTAGGAGAAACTGATGATAGACAAGTACACATAAATGGTAATGTTAGATCATGATGGATAGCAGAAGAAAAGTAAGACAGGTGAAGGGATAGAGTGCCATAGAGAGATCATGCATATACATTCTGAAGGAGAACAATGATGAGAAGGCTGCTTTAGAAGATGTGTGAAAGATAGCCATTGTTAAAGAGGGCTCAGAGAGAGATGCCAGCTCCCCCTGGGGCAGACAGCAGACATCAGGCTTGGCTGCAAGGGGCCTGGGCCCACGGTGCTTTTGCTGTGCCTGGGTTAGATCAAATCTGCAGGGATTAACTCTTGCTGGCCAAGTTCACAAGAAGCTGATGTACCGCATTCCCTTAGAGCTATCTGATAAAGAGACTGAAATCAGTTCTAGGACTCAAGGAAGGTGGTTTGGTGAGGAGAGGAGCTACTGGTCTTATTAGACAATTCTGTTATGTTATCATTGCCTGATACAGCCTATTTACTAGAAAGATAAATTTACTTAGAGGACTGTAAAGTCTAATGCTAGCTTGTCAGGGTATCCTATTTTTTGTTGTAGCCAAGAGTATTCTGGTTTCTTGGCTAATGCTTTTTCTGACCTTTTCCAGACACTATCCTGATATCTAACTGCCTGAGACAAATTCAATAGGGTCTATTAGTTTACACTAACCTCCCAGGATTTTATTTCTGTTGGATCTTACTGCTGATGAATTTTGGTTTCTTGTTGGAGTCTTAAGAGACATACCCATTAAAATCCATGATCACTGTTTATTTGTAAAAGGGCCACCTCACTTTATTATTTTCTTGCCTTATCCTGTAGGCAAACTGCTTGTTTTCCTGAACCTTCTCACAATGCCCGTGGATGCCCTTGTGGTTGTATTGTCTTCTACTCACCTCTAATCGATTCTGAGTGCAGGTAGAAGGTGGTGCTTCTGATAACATGGGACATTGAAATATGAAATCCATTAAGTCCTAGCTTGCAAATCAGGGACCACATGTTTCTTCTGCAGCCCCTTGGCCCGAACCCTGTATAGTCCCTTTGCAGTTCATTTGTAGACTCATTGGTTGGGACTTGCCATCACTGTCTGTCACACAGGCCCTCACCTAATGTCCATTGATCCCCACGGATTCCTCTCTCCCTGGACTATGTCTCCCACCTTTGCCCTTCCTGTTCCAACAAATACGTCATCATTCTAAGCAATTCTGAACACAAAGAACTTGCAACATCTTTCCAGTTGAATCTGCTCCTTGAGTACAGGATGGAGACATTTACTTACTTTCATTTTTATACTCATCAAAAAATAAATGTGTGGCCTTAGGAAAATCACCTTATTCCTCTGAGTTTTCTTATTTCTCAAAAAAAAAAAAAAAAGGATAATTTACTTCAGACCACTTCCCTGAAATTTTATAAGAAGGGGAAAAAAATGATGCAGAAAACCTTGGGCAAACCCACTCTATAACCTGAGAAATCTGAGGTCAGACTGATATCAATAAGAACTGAACATTTCCTTTTTGAACATGTCTATGTCACTCCTGGCAGGGAAATCCCGGAGGCAAGACCCTGGAGGAGAGGCGCTCTAGCCTGGATGCCGAGATCGACTCGCTGACGAGCATCTTGGCTGACCTCGAGAGCAGCTCTCCCTACAAGCCGCGGCCCCCGCAGGTAAGAGTGGTCTGGGAAGGCCCCCACGTGGCCAGGGGCAAATAGTCCACACTGAGCTGAAGGTACAGGGTGCTGCTTCTAGGCCCTATTGTTTTTTTATCTTCTCAGAGTCAATAGTCTTAGTTGTCTTTTTATTTAATACCGAGATATGTTAACAGAAATTTTTAAAATTAATCTTATCAATTTCTGTTTCAATTACTACAAAAACATTATTAAAAAAATATGAAAATTAACTTTCTTCTTGTTCTATTGCCCAGCTCTTTTTCTAGCTTTGAGTATGTGGATATTTTGTTGCATGTTGTTAACATCTTCACAAATAGAATTTGGCATGGCTATGTTGTTAAGGCAAGGATTATGTCTTTTGTAAAGAAACTCTTTATGTTGGATATGTGAGGTGGGCTTGCATTTTTTTGGTTGTGGTTGTATGTAATACTACGAAGGACATGTTCGTGGATATTTTCTTTGGAACTATTTCCCTGCCTCAAATTCCTAAGAGTGGGATTTCTACATTGAGGGGTATGACCGCTTTCTTTATTTTTCTTTCCAAAGGTTGTGAATAGCTAATATTGGCAGTTTAAGTACACTGGTTTCTCTTCAGTCTTGCCAGAATTTTGTGATAACTATTAATCTATATTTTTTTAAGTGCAGGCGGTGCCATGTTACCAGTTTGTGTATGCTTTTTTTTTTTTTTTTTTTTTTTTTTACCTACTTACTTTGGAGCTTGGCTATTTCCCTGCACTGGAGTTTACTCTCTACATTCAGAAGCTGAGCTTCCATCGCCAGTGGCCATTTGCTCTCTCTTTCTGTCAGATCTTCAGACAATAAAGGCAAGTCGATTTTAGGACTCTGGGTCCTCAGAAGACAGCCGGTAGAACTCTAGATGCAAACGTTGGACTGGCACTGTTGTCACTGTGTTGTTAGACTCTTGCGTGATACTTGCTTGACAAAGTGACAGTGCATACGGCATGCTGAGTTTCACTCCAGTTCTTGAATAGCAGCTCCTATATTCACAATGGTTCCTTTCATGAATTAAAAACCAGCCCTGCTTCTCTGCTGTCAGTCATTTCAACACTGAACTGCGCAGAAGGTGGCAGCGCTTTAGACATATTCCCTCTTTAGACATATTCCCATTACCTTTCCTAGACATATAACGAGACTGTCAGCTATGTGGGGGCACTAGCAAAACACGCTGGAGCTTGGCTCTTCCTTAGCTCTCTTTGCTCTTGGCCTCACCAGACCTGTTGGTAGTGGAAATGCACTTAATTTTGATAAGCATACTAAGCTGTAGGCATGTAGCAGGCGCTGTGGGGGAACCGATAGGAGAATAAAAGTGGATGATTGAATAGGAAGTATATAGGACCCCATTGTCATCTACGAAGAGCCCATAATAGTGTAAGTTCAACTATGGCAGATATTGCAGAAACATAAAGAAGAGAGTAACATATACTTTTGAAGGTGGCAGAACCTGAGAGGATTTATCAAAAGACTTGTGTATTTAGATAGAAGGATGGGGACAATGATGGAGAAATGAAGGAGAACAGCCTGAGCCATAGAGGAGAAAGGTGCAGGCTGCCAGGTGTCTGTGGATGAGGGCATTGAAGTCTTGAAATGGCTACAGGAGCGAGGTTTCCCTCCGACAGCCAGAGGGGGAAGTTTGAATGCCAGATTCAGATTTTGGCTTTTCTTTTATAGATAATGGGGAATAGTGGGGGGTTCTCATGCAGGGGAAAACTAAATTTCATTCCAAAGAAATGAAAATAGTAAGCAAGATGAGCTCTGGAAAGATGCAGGAGGATGGGCCCAGGTCTGAGAAATTCTCTAGCAAGCTTGCTTCAGAGTTTCTGATCATTGTGTGATGTTAAGCATTTTTTCTATTCCGCTTAAGTGCGAGCCTCAAGCTCCATTCCTCGGACAGCAAGGCTGCTGAGTTTGCCACAGGAATCACCTGTCTATGACTCCCTACCTTTTTTAAAAAATGGGGAAAATAGAGTTTTTGAGTAATCTTTTTTCTCCTAAATCTTTATACCTTAATATAAACTGAGGAGCTTTTGTTTAGAGGATTTTGCTCAAAATAACCTTCATTCCTTAAGGCTGTGTCTACATACACCTCCCTTAAACGTCTTCATTTTAATGCATTGATTTAGTAGCTACATTTTTGTTTGCACAGTCATACTGTGCACACAAATTCATAATCACTGATACTTGAACAGCGCTGTAGTCATTGTAAAGCACTCATATACATTCTCACTTGTGTTAGGCATAACTATCTCAAGTCTCAGATACTGATGATGTGCTTATTTTGTAGCTGAGGAAACTAAGACTAAGCAGATAAGTGACTTGTCATAGGACATATGACTGCAATGTGAGCACAGCTGGACCCTGAATTTACACCTGTGTTTGATTTTAAGTTCAAGAACCATATTGAGGATGTCAGTATTTTTTTTTGAGGGTGTCAGTATTTTTAAAATATTTTTTCAATGACAAAATCTGTGAAACAGTCATATGAGTAACAATGTCCCTTGAGGTTTTCACATAAAAAGAAAAAAGCATTCAGAATGTTTAAAACACTAATAATGATAATCCTTAACTAGAATAAGTTGAGAATTAAGGTAAAAATGTACTTTTAATGAGCCTATTCCACTCAGAAATTAAAGAGTGATCCTTTCTAACTTTTTTCTTATTCTAATTTTTTAAAAGACTTTACTTATTTTTAGAGAGGAGGGAAAGAAGGAAGAGAGGAAGGGAAACGTCAATGTGTGGTTGCCTCTCATGCGCCCCCTACTGGGGACTTGGCCTGCAACCCAGGCATGTGCCCTGACTGGGAATTGAACTGGCAACCCTTTGGTTTGCAGGCCAGCACTCAACCCACTGAGCCACACCAGCCAGGGCTTATTCTAATTTTGAAAAGCAAGAGTTGACTGGGACTTATTCTTCTGAATGACCTTCACTTGGTGGAACTGAATTAATTGTGTTAGTATTTGTTGGTTAACATAATTATATGCTGTAAGAATGATAATCACACACCTAAAATATTAAAAATATGTGCCAAAAAAAAGATGATGTCTGCAGTAGATTGTGTTGTGTTGTAATTAAAAGGTACCTGAAAAGTCCTAGAAATGTACACTGTTAATGTCCAACTTTGATGTTTTCATTTTTGATCCAAAGCAAATTACAAAACCCGTTGAATCACTTGACTACTTAAAGTAGGCTAGTAGGTCTGTGATTTCTCTTTATTCAAGTGTGTGTTGTGTACTTTCCCAAACCTACCTCTGAATCATCTTTGTAAGGCTGCTTTGACTAATGGATCTAGGGGAAAATAATAACATACGTGGAATGTTTGTACAGCTAGAGATCTAAAGGAGCTTTATTCACGTAACAACTTTGAAAACTGTCTGAGTACTTGAAAATAGATTTCATGAGGCGTTTTTCTTCTTTCTTCTAAAGGAGCACTTTTCTACTTTGAGATTCCCCAACCTCTGTTCAACTTACTTGTATTTTTACTTGGAAAATGTGGCTTAATTTCACATTTCCATTCATTCACCTAACATTTATGAGATCCTGTTGTAGATCAGGTATTATAAACATGAAAGTTAGTATCAATACATCCTTGCTCTGGAGGGGTGTCCAGCCCGCGGCCCGCAGGCTGCCTACAGCCCAGGAAGACTGTGAATGCGGCCCAACACAAAATCATAAATTTACTTACAACATTATGAATTTTTTTGTGTGTGATTACTTGTCTCAATGTATTTACTACGTGGCCCAAGGGTTGCCCAGAGACGCCTAAAGTTTGGACACCCCTTGAGAGTAATTCTTACTCTTACAGAGTAGACAAGCACATAAACTACTCAAAAGACCACAAAAGACTGGCTACATTGTGCTACTTTGGGCCATGACGTGACTCACCAGATGTTGAAATTGGAGGAAAAAAATAGCAAATATCAACATTATACTTTATACTTTTCTAGGGAGGCATTAGGGAGGACTGCATGGAACAAAGAGCCTGCGAGTTTACTTGGCTATGTTGTGGGGAAGGCATGGGATTCAAGGTGTGAGAGTAAGTGTAATGAGGAAACCAAGGGCCATTGAAAGTTAACGTCTTTTTATTTTTTTTCTTTAAGGTTTTATTTATTTATTTTTAAAGAGAAGGGAGGGAGAAAGATAGGGTGAGAAACAGTGATGTATGAAAGAAACATCTATTGGTTGCCTGTCCCATGCCCCAAACTGGGACCTGGCCTGCAACCCGGGCATGTACTGTAAACAGGAACTGAACCTGTGACCTTTAGGTTTGCAGGATGATACTCAGTCCACTGAGTCACACCAGTCATGGCTGAAAGTGAATGCCTGTTTGAAGGACATGTTAGTTCAAATGCAGTACAGGGTATGTGGAATGCAAAGGGGTAGGCAGATGAAATCGTGTACACTTAGTATGTATGTAGCTCTCTTCATGTCCAAGACCTCTCATAGCAAGAGGTGGAATTTAGAGATGATGGTGTGTATGGTTACAGTGGGTTTGGGACTAAGTACTTTAGCAAATTTTAAATGACATGTAAAGAGCTCCATTTGTATGAACTGTGCACATTACTATTCTGAGCTTCCTTTATTTCTAAAGTGGGCATGGTAACTACAATTATTCACCTTTGCAGAAATACCACATTGCTCCAGTCTTACAAGAAATAAGATGTTGGCTTTAAGCAATAGTTCCTTCAATCCTTCCCATTTTGTTTTGGGATTATTAGCTTGAGTCTGGAACTTGCTTTAAAGCTTCAGGTCTTTGAAGGCTTGGGGCTTTTCTTTTCTGAATGCTGATTATCCTATAAATTCTGTATTTGTCTCCCTCATTTAAAGCATTTAAAAAGTATTGCAATTTTTTAGTCTGTTTGGGAACTGAGTACATAAATGTTCTTTGGTCACATGTACAGTGTCTTTAACTGCAATCTCAAGCACTCCCCGCTGAGTTCCTTTCACAGAGCAATGATCTCTGAAGCAGCCTGAGAAATTGT